ATACCTCCCACCCGCTCTACTGCTCGAGCTGCGGCGCGCCGCCGCCGCCACCAGCCCGCTCTCCCGCTCTCCTCACGACACGTCCGCCATGCCAGGGAGTGAGGGTGTCACACCCACGACACGTCCACGACACGTCCACGACACGATCATGACACGTCCACGACACGTCCACGACACGTCCGCGACAGGCGCGCCGCACGGCGGCTCCAAGTTTTGCACAAACTGCGGCGCCAAACTGCCGCCCTTGACCAACGGCGTCGCCGCCGCCGCCGACGCCGCCGCGCGGGCCCTGTCCGGCGCCGACGCCGCCGCGCCGCCCTCCGAGCCGCTCGACATTGGCTGGGGTGCCTTTGGGCGGTGGACGGTGCGCAACCGGGCGGGGGTGATGGCGGCGGCGGCGGTGCTCGCGTTTGTGGTGAGGCGTCGCTCTCTCGCCGGCGCGCCTCGAAAGAAGACGGACGGCGCCGCCTCTGGTCTTGCGTCTTAGGTGTCGCCCGCGTCGCTCGAGACAAAGTTCACGTCGAGCCCGCAGGCCAGTTCTCCGAACGGGTTCCCCCTTTCCCACGGTACGGAACCCACCCCTACCCCCACGGTACCCAAACCCGCAGGCCATTTTTCCGAACGGGTTCCCTTCGATGGACTTTGCTCGCGAGCTCATCGACTCGTATGGCGAGGGCCGCATCTGGCCTGCACCTCCTCTTGATGAGTTCATCATTCTTCGTGAATCAATACCTAGGCGAGGGCCGCATCTGGCCTGCACCTCCTCTTGATTAGTTCATCATTCTTCGTGAATCAATACCTAGGCGAGGGCCGCATCTGGCCGTACTACCTGATGCTCGACGCCCCTAGAAGCGGAACGCGTATTCTCGCGCCCCAGCCCGCGCTCGAGAGGACACGGACTCCGCCGTGCTCCGCTGTACTCCGCTGTGTTCGTTTCCCTCGTATTCACGCGGTGCGCGGAGGACTCTGCACAACGCCGTCCTCCCGCCCCGGTGTCGGCGTCTTCCCCCTGCAGGCTCGACGCAAACGAGGGCGATACCGTCTTCTCGGCCTCCCCGTCGAAGAACTCGCCGAGGTTGCCCGAGATTACCCGAGGTTACCCGAGATTGCCCGAGATTAGGACGAGTTCTTCGACGCGGCGGGCGACTTTCTGCGCGACGTCAACGCCTCGCTCGCCTCGCACCAGGTCGGCCGTCCCGCCGGCGAGGAATGGAGTATGCACCGAGTGACGAGCTGTTCACTCGCTTCGTCTCGCACCAGGTGGCTGTCCAGTCGGAATGGAGTATGCACCGAGTGACGAGCTGTTCACTCGCTTCGTCTCGCACCAGGTGGCTGTCCAGTCGGTGATGGGGCTGATGTACCTCAACGGCGAGTACGTCCGCTGGACGGAGCTGCAGGCGATGCCCAGTAGCCATTCATAGTGGTACGTTCGCTGTCCGTCCGCTGGGCGGAGCTCGATGCTCCAGCTCTATCTCCCCACATCTCCCCGCACCTCCCCGCACCTCCCCCTCTCCTTCCCGGAGCTGCAGGCGATGCTCCAGTTCTATCTCCCCACATCTCCCCGCACCTCCCCGCACCTCCCCCTCTCCTTCCCGGAGCTGCAGGCGATGCTCCAGTTCGCGAACGGCGACTGCGGCGAGCGCGAGCGGCAGCAGATCCAGAAGAAGCTCGCCGAGGCGTCGGAGCTGGTCGGCAAGCAAGTCTCAGACACGATGTCCAGCATGACAACCATGATCGACTCGAAGCGCCCAAGCGACCCGAGCGGCGGCGCAGCCGCCGAGGACCCGGCCAACCCCGCCGGGCTCACTGTGCAGCCGCCGCTGCGCGAGGAGGCGGCGGCCGCCGTCTCCAAGAGCGACCTGGACCGGCTCGCGCTCGGGGCCGGGCTCTTCTTTGGGCAGCTGGTCAAGGAGGTGCCACACCTACCCGACACGCCCTGGCCACTACCGACACCGTTTTAAGCGGGCCGCTGCTTTGTTGGCCCGCCGTCACCGGGGGAGGCGCCCGCCGCGGGCCGCCGCCTCCCGCCTCCCGCCCCCGGTCTCCTTCCGCCACCGGTTTCCCCCTCCCCCCCCTCCAGGGCCGACGACCTGCCCTCTCCCCTCCCTCCCCCTAGGGGACGGCATCGCGGAGACTGGCACGC